TTAGAGAGACATTTACTGTGAGATTTGAAGTCAAAACATAGTTTTCTAAAGACTTGGGAATTTCATCACTTGGATTTGAAAATGGATTTTTGCCGACTTGGCACACACACACTTTCTACTTCTAGGTTGTTTATGGGTGAACTTTCTTGAAATATTTATTTTTATAACACCTTAGTAGCTCATTGTATATAAAGAACTTGATATTTTCATCTCTGAAACTTTTTATTTTGTAGATATACAGGAAAATTCTTTGGAAGTTTGTAGGTACCTTCACTGAAAACCCTCACGAGACTATAACTCGTCTACTAGGGGTAACCTAGTGATTTAAGGCCTTATTGCATATGGTAAATGCAATCGAAAGTAGCCTGCGAAAGTGACACATCTTTTTGTTAATAAAAGTAATATTTTTTGTGAACTTATCTATTGTTGTCTTTCTTTGCTAGAGGATTAGCAAAAGCTTGTTTGGCGGTAGTTTGATAAGTACACAAAACCTATTATTTTATGCACCAAAATAAGGTTTTAATTAGACATTTATATTATTTAAATATTCTTATATGTTTGTTTTGTGTTTTGTAGGTATTAATGCATGAATGGGAAGAAAATAAACAAAAAAATGAAAAATAAGTGGAAAAGAGAGAAAGAAGAAAAGAAAAGAAAAAAGAAGAAGAAAAAACCAAGTCAACAAAAGTGTGTGCATAGTCAGCAAGAGAAAGTTAGAAAATGAAAGAAAAAGTAAAACAAGGAAATGGGAGTGGTTGAAGTCAACAGAGAAACTGTGAAGTGGTCAGTAGCAAAAAGATCGCGTGAAACAATGTAGAAGAAATTTGGGCAAGCCATCATCACAAGCCTACAAGTGGGTTGCTGCAATTGTCTATAAATTGCGCACTTCGGGTGGAGAGTTAGATATAGATTTTGGTGAAGATAGAGAATAGGTAGAGTAGAAAGTTAGAGATAGAATTTCTTTATGTAATTTTCTTTAAAGTTTGTTTAATTTAATGCAAGTTATGTCCACAAGTTTTATTCTCATTTAATTTCCAATTCGAGTGTTTAATGTTTTATAGTTGTAATTTCATTTCCATAGTTCGTGACCAATCTCAAAATCAATATTTTTAAATCTCTTGTTTTGAAATAGAAACTCACCTTGAATGCGTGGTTCGACCCTACTTGCCATTAGACATTTTTAGTTAAATGGTTGTAGGTATTTTATATGTTAATATAGAGTGTATTTGACAACGACAAGTTCATAAATACACCCCTATCAATAGCCAACAAGATGATCTTTTTAGACAAAATTTTTGAATTTATATATAATAATATTATGTGATACCATTCATTATAATGTAGATAAATTTAATATAATATATTATTATATTTTGTTAACTTTATCTACATTATAATGAATGAAGTCACTAAGTTGGAGCTTAGCCTTTGATGCTTGTTTTTATTTGTATTTTTTGGTTTTTTTAAAAATTATATTATTTATAAATTAACTTATAATATATTTTTAAATTGTATTGTAATCCCATTTTTATAAGAAAAACAATTACAAAATCACAAAAATATTCCAAACTTGTCTATATCATGTCTAACCAAAAAAGAAAAATAAAAAAATTCCTAGACAATTCACGCCATATTGAACACGTTTCTAGGCCTTTTCCTACATGTGTTTGACACTCCACGGCATCCCAAGAAGAGGGTCTCCATGCCCTGGCCATGAATTATCCTGAAGTTAGAAAACTCCTCTAAAATTTCAAATTTTCAATTAACCCCGTTATATTTTCTCCCTTTTGGCAAATTTACCCCTTTTGTTAGGATGCCGCTTAGAAATGGTCATTAGTTCTTTAATAATGACAAATTACCCAATATTACTTAGGTAAGACAAAGTGGGTGGGTAAAGTATTTAAAAAAAAAAAAAAAAAAATCGACCATTTACAAAAAAAATAAATAATAAACACCCTAAATCAATTATTGGCAACTTGAGGTCGCAGCTTCAAGTTGCCAATTTAGCTTCCCCCCTTTTTTTCTTTTTTTGGTGGAGGATTTTGTGTCCTCATTTTTCGCCGAGTTGAAATTTGTTGTAAAAAATTAGATAATTTACACAAACCTCCCTTATGGTTTGTCATAATGACAGGAACCTTCCCTCGGGTTTGGGAATTTACTTGGACCTCCTCTAGGAATGAAAATATCCTACACGGACCTCCTTTATGTATGACGAACCGTTAAATACACTAACGGACCTGTCATAATTACTAAAATACCCTCTCTTTGGCATCTGAAATTACTAAACTACCCATCTGAAACTTTGGGCTCTCTGCAAGGCCGACGTTTACTTCGGTTGGGGAGGCCTGAAGATCTGCGAATGGTCTGGAAAAGATCTGCGAATTTGCAGAGGTTGCATATTCTTTCTCGCTACAAGATTTTCAACAGATTTAGAAAATTTACAGAGGTTGCAAATTCTTTCTCTCTCTATAATTAGTCTCTCCTCTACCTTTCCCTTCTCATCTTTCTCTCTCGACCTGTGTTTGGGTTTTTGATGCCGATTGAGGACTAAATGTGCATATATACAGAGAGAAATTTACCAAAATAAAACTAAATATATAGAGAGAAATTTACCAAAATAATAAATATATATATTAAGAAAGAAAGAGGACTAAATGAAGATCATACATAAGGCTTGTGCATATAGTAGTGTGTGTGCATATATACAGAGAAGGAAAGAGTAATAACCTGGAATTATGTCAATATCGGGTCTTTGGGATTTTGCGATTTTCAGGGATTTTCTAGATCAGAAATTGATTTTGGAGGATTTAGTAGTTTTGTTGGGTAACAAAATATTCAATCGAGGCGGGGTGATGATTTTATAGTCTAATATCCGGTGGGGAATTTACAGGACCGTCGAATTGGATTTGGGTCCTGACCCTTATGTAATGCCTACAATGGTTGTGTGTGTGTGTATATATATATATATACACACACATATATATCAATTGGTAGGGACAAGCGTATTTTAGAGATTTTAGTAAAATTTGTAGCTGACGTCATCAATTTCGGTCGTTAACACAAACAAAAAGGAGGTCCGTGTAAGATATTTTCATTTTTAGGCAAGGTCCGAGTAAATTCCCAAACTAGAGGGGAGGTCCCTGTAATTATGGCAAACCATATGGGAGGTTTGTGTAAATTACACTAAAAAATTAAATGTTTTATAACAGACAAAAGTGCAAACAACCCCCCTGAGCTATCATAAATCAGCATTTTACCCCCCTGAATTACAAAAATGAACAAATTAATACCACAACTATCCAAATCCGTACAAGTTAACCCCTGAAGCTCAATTCCGGCCATTTTCGGCCCATAAGTACAGTCATTTTCTTTAAATTCCATAATTGCCTTTAAATACTCATTAATAATATTATTTATTTATTCATTTTCATTTTTACAATGAAGTCGGTCAGAAGTGCAGCACGGTGACCTATTCTTTTTATTTACCCCAATTACTCAACACCCAAACTTCTACTTTTTCAATCTCTGAATCAATTGAGTTGATTTCTAATCCATATTCTTCAAGCTTTATGTATAAAACTAAAATGACAGTTGATGCAACTGAGCCGAAGATTTATTGATGATCTTTCTCTCTAATTCCGTGCATCCAAAAGTGTTGTCCATCAAGCTCGAAAGATTTCTCATCGTCTTAAGCCTCTGATGACCAGTGTTGGTTCAATTAAGGAATGCAAGAAAGAAAAAACAAATGAAAATCCAATTACTCCGTATAGTAGAACAAATCAAAAGGTACGATTGCAAGGCTAATAACAAATAGTAATAAAAAAGCACAGGAAAAGGAAAGAAAAAAACAAAGAAGAATGGATGGTTACAGAGGGGAGAGAGAGATTTTAGAGTGAGAGAGATGTTGTGGGTTGTTCATCATCTTCTTCCTAAAGGAAAGCGAACTCGTGTACTGGGGGGGGTATGATTTGGCTTCTTCTGATGTTGGGTACCCCCAAAATCTCCCACTCACACACAAACATCATTTCTTCTCTGATATGCGCAATTTCCAGCCACCATTGTCGCCGAAGACTATCCAGAGGGGCTCTATCTAGATCACGGCGTGCCGGAGGGTCCGTAGGTGAATCGGTTGTCGACCCAAATCGGTAAAGCGAGCAGGCCAATTCTTGCCCGCCGGTGCCGCGCTGCGAGTTCATCATAGCCGAACTCACAATCGAAAAGCTCACAGTCGAGTTCTCCTTGCCCGCCGGTGTAACGCTGCAAGGTCACAACCGACTTGTCCACAGCCCATCGCCGGCCCATGCCCGCAATCGCCATCGTCATCGTTGCACCAGCAGGTCGAACCAGTCCTTTCCACAGCCGGCCCATGCCGCCATCGCCATCGCCATCGCCATCGCCATCGCTGCACTAGCCGGCCGAATCAGGAATCCTTGCCTGAAATTGCACATCGCCGATTCAGTCCTTGCGGCCGATTCAGTCTCACCATCGCCATCATTGTTCTTCGCCGGATTCTCAGCAATTAACATACTTCTCGGATGGCCATCATCCACAACCATGGTCACACCATTGGAAACAAATCTAACAATCAACAAGCTTTGTTTTGCAGCCTCTGATGCGATGGAGACCATCCTCCGAAGCCGATCAAATTTGTAGATGAATAGAGAGGGTTACAACACTTAGGTAACGTTTAGGTCACATGAAGGGCATTGAGGTATTTCACGCTGATTATTTTTTTTCTTTGTTTATCCTCGTAGTTCAAAAAGTAAAATGTCATTCGTGATAGTTAGGATTGTTTGCACTTTTGCCTGTGTAGTATGATCACGGCGATTATCAAAAAAGTATCAGCAACTTCTTTCTTCGGCGATTATCGTGATTCATTCAATAGATCACGGCGGAGCAGCACAGCTCAATTCGGATAACGACAACGAAGAAAGAGAGAAGGGCAAGTGGCGAATCTTGTCGAATAACAACAAAATTCCAAGAAGAGATGGTCCAATTTGATGCCTCTATTGGTAGCCCTAGTTGTTGTTGTTGTAAAGATTGGCTTTCTGGGTCGGCTCGACATGGCCAAGAACGTTGCTTTTTTGTTCAACTCCTTGGCCCTGTCCTTCTATCAGTTCACATTGTCCTCGTCGGCGACGATAGTTGATGAGGTTAGGTTGGCTGTGTTGGATCGTGACCGCAGCTCCGAACTGACTCTTTTTCGAGGAGTGGGTGGAGAGAGAAAACTCTGTAGTGTATTCCAGAGATTTTCAGAAGCAACGCATCTCAGTTAAGGGTTTTGAGGAGGTAAGTTCCGGTTTGGTGATGATTCAAACTGTTTCTTTAAAATGTACCTATGCATTTTATGCCCTAATATATACACACATAAAGAAATTTGCCATTTTTTACCTAAACACCTAATTGTAGCTGACCATGCATCTAATTTTAATCCTTTTCTTTCGTAAGGGTCATTTGTAATCTGTAATTTTTTATTTTTTAAAATTATTATTATTATTTTTTTTCTGGGCAAAGTAGAAATTATTATAGGTATGAACAACAATGTACATGGCTATAATAAGCAAAGGCATACTTTGGATTATTACCTTAGAACAAAAGAACTAAATAAAGGTAAAAACCCGACCAGAAATAAGCAAAACCTCCAATTAAAAGAGACAAACAGAGTAACAACTTAAGCACCAAACAGATTCAAGGGTAGGACAAATCCAGCACCTCCCACCAAATAACCTGAGCAATCGATGAAAAAGACCTTGTAACTCCTTCATAAATCCTAGTATCTCTCTCAATCCAAACATGATATAGAGCTATAGAAAATATTCTTCTAGCAACTATATCTTTCAAACCATTAGAGTGAAAAGTAGTACTAAGCCATCGAGATAACTGCACCAAGCAAACACAATTAGGTAGCTGCAAATCCAGGAGACATGAGAACTCAACATCTACTTGTAACATGCGTTGGATTGAACGTATATGGTTATTGTTTCAACTGATGTGGTTAAGTTTTGGTTTATTGACTTGGTTGCTGAATTAATCTACTCAGGGTATGCATCGTCATGTGTTGGATAGATCATGTTATGAAGTACATCGATACAATAAAATAATATTATATATATACTAATCTTTTAGTGATATTATTATAACCTCCACTGATTTGATATATTAACCCAAATCTATCATTTGATACCCATAACTTATGTGACATATATTTATCCATACATATATGTATATCTTCTTCTCTGTTTAAATGTGAATGTGTGACACCTTTTTGATTTGCACTTGCTGGGGAAAAAAAATAGATTTACATTTTATGACCCTTATTCATCATTATGATCTAGCTCAAAGTCGCAGGATTTTGTTTAAGGAAGCAAATAAGATTTTGATAATTGTCATAGTTTATTGTCCATCTAAGATTGTGTTAACTAATATAGTTAATCCATCATTAAATAATGACATGTATCAAAACTGCAATATTCTTACATTTTTTTTTTTTAATTTTAATAATTATCTTTCAATTGCAGTTGATAATCACCCTTAAAAGTACTCATGCACTCTACTTCTGAGGATTAATTGTGTTTTTTTCTAGGACTAATTACATCACTGTCAGACCCCGGATTTCAAAATCTGAATTTTGATTAAAGGAAAAGAAATTAAAATATAAAATTAACAAACCACATCCTTTAATTAGAACCACCATTCTTTTTTTTTAATTGAAGTCGTTATATTTTATTAACTAGCAGTGTTTCCTGAGCTCAACTGTACAGCTTGGTTTCACAACTCCTTTACACACATTCTAACAACCTGCCACATGGTATCAACCACCCTCCAATCATATTATATAAATATGTAAATAGTTGTAATTTGTACTGTACAATAAAGGATGCACAAGATGGCAAATAAAGTTTGTTTACATAACCCATGACCTGATTTTATACATAAAAGGAAAACTGATACTAAACTGAAGTACTCAATTTAATTTATTAAAATCTCTGAAAATCATAATATTAGACCCAACAAGTAATAAATAAAAATAACTCAAATAACAAATCCAACCCCATCCTTGAATCATAGGATTAAAATAAACAATTCTGGCACAATTAAAATCTTGGGCGACTATGCTAAATTAGAAGTGACATTATCAATTTGTGTCCGGCTAAAAAAATAATCAAATAAATATTGTTCCTCCAAAACAAGTCACGTAGATGTGGTCTTTTCCAAGTCAGCTAATTATTTCCAGTAGCGTTTCCTTCATCTGCAAAATTGTTGGGGGGTGAGCAAAGCTCAGTAGAAGAACGCTAAACTAATCAATTATTAACAAAATCAATTAACAAGTAAGCACACAGGAATGAATGATAAATTGAATGAGCATGGCAAAGTGAATCCTGTCATGTATGTTACAATAACAAGTAGATAATTAATGTAACAGTTTAACCAAATATCACAACCACCCAACAACACAGATCTTAAGCCATTCTGACGCTTTACGGGTCACTACCCCGAAGGACGCCAGATCCCTCCAGTTATCCCATGCTTTCTCGGGTCATGACCCCGAAGGACATGAGAACCCTCCAGTTATTTTTCCTGATCAGGTTTCGGGTTTTTTGCCCAAGGGCGCCGAGCCCTACCTTGCTTTCCAAACTCAATTCACCGACACAATCCCACAATGTCACAAAAATTCATCATCAAAATCTTCTAAACTTTCATCCTTAAATCAATTCCTCCAAATAAAATCATGTTTAAATAAATTTAACCAAAGCAATAATTTTTCCATACTTGTGACAATTTACCAAACACCTTGTCTTCACAACTTCAACAATTTCGTTTAAACATCCAACACAAACCAGTCCAAATATAAAAATAAAATAAAACAAATAGAGCACACAGTATTATGAAATATATATATGTATAAATATTAATAATAATAGTGTATACCTAATTATCAAAAGATTTCATCAATAATGAAAAAGTTTAAAGAACCCCTACCTCAACGCTAAAAACAAAATTACCAAGATTAATTATGTAGATGCGTAGAGAAGGTTGACAGGAACACTTTTCGTTCTTGACCCACTAAGAAACTTCCACCAATTTGTCCTTCAAAGAAAGAAAAACTGAACAAGGCAGCTAGGGTTCTTTTCTTTCCCTCTATTGTGGTCGGTTTTCACGGCTTCAACCTCAGGCCTTCTCTCTTTTTTTTTCTTTTTTTATTATTATTATTACTAGTTATTTAGTATATATATATCTTGCTTACTCTTTGACGGAGGTACTTTGTGTACTCACGTAAGTAAGCCCAGCCAATTAAAAGAATGAATGGCCTATATACTGATATATACTAAAAGTCAATACTAAACCTAAACACTAGTACCCATATCCTTATATCACTTATATAATAAAATATTATTATTCATGTTCCAAAGAGTAATCATATTACTCTGGCTAAAACTGAACACCTCAAATACATAACAAATAGCCTTGGTCCCAAGCCACGTACACCCAACTAATATTATTATTATTATTAGTATTATTTTTAGTTCCACCCAATACCAAGCAACATAATATAAATATCCTTAAACATAAAATAATAATAATAATAATGACAATTAAATAATAATAACATTTTTTTTTTCCTGGGTCTCTACAATCACTTTTCTCTAAATGTTAAGTACAAAATAGGCACAGGGAAGCCTAAGGTCCCAAGGAACTCAGAAAATCAATCATTTCCTCAGGGGAGGATCAATGTCTACTTGAACCCCAACAACATAAAGAACTAATAAGGAAAGATTTAAGAACAACAATCGAAGATTCGTCTCCTTCAAATGACCTATTGTTCCGCTCCCTCCACAGACACCACCATAAGTACAAAGGCGCCATCCTCCAATAATCACGAGCCTATGATCCCACGTAGCACCTTCTCCAAGCGTCCATCAATCCTCTCGCAGATCTAGGCATAACCCATGAAACCCCAAAGATACGCAACAAAAGGTTCCAACAATCAAAAGCCACTGGATAGTGCAAAAGAAGATGATCAATCCACTCTCCATTACACTTGCACATGCAGCACCAGTTAACTATGATTATAAGAGGCATTATTGATATCAGATAACTTTCTCACCCCATACCACCTTCAACCTTAGGTGAACAAACTGTCTTCAAGTTAAGGGAAGGCATTTGTCTTATTAGAATCACTAGAATCCCAAAGGAAATCCCTCATCTTATTCTCCAAAACCTTGATGACAGAAATAGGCAACTTAAAAACAGAAGTCCAATAATAAGCTAAACAAGTAAGGAATTTCTTTGTAAGTTATTGTTCATTCTTCAAATCTGTACTTATCAGCCATAATTGCATATAAGACAAGGACAACAAAGGCCTTATAGTTTCTATGACCAACACAATTGTTTACCCAGAAACAGTGATGGCCCTGCATGCAATTTCTCATGTGAGGTGATACTGCAAATTGAAAGTTATAATCGTGGTGACAACAAGAAATCACGTGTCCATTTATTTTAGCACAAAGAATGAAAAGAACACCTACCATCCTCAAAACACATCTTCTGCAGACATTGCAATGACCTAACATTTGCCACAATGCCTCGGACGTAAACATGCTTCCGGAGTAGAAATTTATGTTATAATTCTAATGTTAATATTTGATAGGTATGTAGCTCTATTTAAGACTTCTCTACTCAACAATTGCTATTCTTCAATATGTATTATCAGCAATCCAGTAAACAGTAAAAAATTAATGCATGTGGGTATGTGAAACAGAGGGAAAAAGGAATTGTTTCTTTTACACGTGAAGTGTGGAGGGGAGGGTCCATGCATTTAGGCTGGGATGATATCATAGTTGAATACTACCATAAAACCTAGGATTTGTTAGTTGGATATATATGTGGGTGTTTACCATGTAACTTGTGGTTGATTAGGAGCTTAAAAGTTCAATATTGGATATGAAATAAATTGAGATTGACTCTCTGGAACTTCAATTATTGAGCATTTGGGTTATTTGAATGTGGGTTCTGTCCTTCATTTTGTAATCATCTCTAACAAGAAGTAACAAAAATTAGAGGTAGTAGTTATTTGACATTATATGACCAATGACCATGTACCCACTGCATAGCAGAATTTTCCCTCCCTCTCTCTCTCTCTCTCTATCTTTATTTATTTATTTTTAAAAGAATTATTCTGTAACTAAAACTGCTTAACCAGATAACATTCTCATGTCTTTACCAGTTTGCACTCTCTATACATATATATAATAAATATGATTTATGCACACAAATATATATAGACTGAGTCGGTCTATAAGCAATTAGTTTTTTACTTTTTTATAACTGAGGGTGTCCCAACTCCCTTCTGAGGCAAGACTAATCCCTTCTGATACTTTTAATCCCTCTTTAACTGTTTCTGACACTCCTATAAATTGAACACAACCTATAGAGGTTCATGTCCTATTTGTCAATTGTGGTTCATTAACTAATGTTGAAGTATCCATGAAGTAGCCTTCTTACCTTGTTAATATATATATATATATAGTTAATTTATCTAAATGTCTTCATAAAATCACCAATGAAAATTTCATTACTTTTAAATCTGGCTGCATATTACATTAGATTAACGTGCTGCACATTTTCAGTGCTTTTGCTGGCCTTTATACCAAGGCTCTGTGCTTTATTTCCCTACTTTGTGGCTTATTTTGTTTTACTTTTCACTTCTTTTAATGTAATCACCAATGAAAATCGTATTTCTTCTAACTTTGGCTGCATATTACATTAGCTTAATATGCTGCACATTTCCAGGCCTTTTACTGGTCTTTATACCAAGGATCTCTGCTTTATTTCCCTACTTTGTGGCTTATTTTGTTGTACTTTCACTTCTTTTAATGTAATCTTTGCATGATATGGAATATATTGTATGTTTTTGCTCATTTGCTGTATTGGTAATGTATGTATTTGACCATTCGATTTGTCTATTATTCTATTCTATATTGTTACAGTGCTATATAATTTTTTATTTTTTTTCCATTCCCTTTGACAATTTTCATGCTTTATGTGCAAGACATGTGAATTTCATTTCCTCCGGACAAATCCTATTTACATGCTGCTATTTTATGCCATACAAACTCTTTTTTGTTATTGAAATCTTATTTTCAAAGTAATTTGATCTATACGATTATTCGAATCAATAAATATTTGTCTTAATTGTGTGTATAATTTCAAAACTCAGCTACTTGAGCATTTGTTGTCATACTTGTATATACAAACATATAGGTAACATACATTGGTTTCAGACACCCTTGATTGATGGTTCATGTCATGTGTCTTAAATTCTCAATAGCTCCTTCATAAGCTGTTTTTTCCCTTCTCCATAAGCAGTTTAGTGGGATTCGTAGGAACCTCGAAGCTATGAATGCTGAGTACAGAAGATATATAGCAAAACGAAATAAAAATGATGGGTTTATTTGTTACCAACCTCTCAAATATGTTTGATATCTCATGCATCATAGGAGGAGTGTGAAGTGCTTTACTGTCATTCATTTTCTATATGTTACACGGCCTGTGATCCCATATATATTCTTAAGATGATGGTCCTTGAACACATATCACTCTCAGCCTTAACCTTATCTTCATTTCATCTTTGTCTTCTTTTCCATGGGAGTTGGTTTCATCTTTGAGTTCTTTTATTTTGGATAAACTCTCCTCATCACATGTATTTAATTTTCTTCCTACAATGATGCTTTCAGTCAAGTCAGATGTATTTATCACAAGAGGTATTTGTTTTGCTGCTGTACTAAAAGTCAAACTGTACATTGAAACAATTACTTTGTATTATTTTTTAATTATCGATCTATATGTTTTTTTGAAGGAGAAAATTTTATTTTATTTTATAATAATTCCTAATTTTATTTTTTCTTTGTTTTTTGTCTACAGCTAGGTTGGTCAATTGGTATTGGTGTTGAAGATATATATTGTTTTCAACATTATCAGTAAGGAGCTAGGTTAGAATTTCTATTATTGTAATTATTGTTATATTTTGTGTAATTGTGTGTTGTGAATACTTTATTCTTTATCAGATGAAGTTTCAGTATCTATAGATTGCTTCATCTCGTATGCCAATGTTTTGAACTTTAGATTGATTAAAATTTGAGATGACAAACTAGTACACTACATGCATGAGATACCATCTTATCTTATCTTCTATTAAAATTTGCATCTCTAACCTTTCAGCTTTATTTCCCTTCTTTTTGTGATTGAAATCCTATTTTCATAATAATTTGATATATCCAATTATTTGAATCAATAAAAATTTGTCTTATTGTGTGCCTAATTCCAAAGTTCAGCTAGTTGATCATTTTTCCTCTGCTTTCATGTTTTATGCACACATGTATAGGTAGGATAATTGGTATCTTACCTATGTATTCATATTGTTATGATTAAATGATTGCTTTAATTCAAATGTACGTGTGCTTGAGTGCACACGTGTCTGTGTGTGCGAATCAATAAAAAATTGTCTTATTGTGTGTCTGTGTGTGCTTTAATCCAAATGTATGTATGTATGTATGTATTCTATATGAAGTGCACAAGACTGCTGCTACTCCTGTCAAGCTAGTATGCAAGATGTCATATGCTCTCAGTAGTGTGAACTAACTGTGTGGTAAATGATCTTCAAGTGCTCAGTAGTGTGAACTGACCTGTGCTAAATGACTACAAGCAATGTGACCTAAATGATCCATGTTCTAATTGTCATGGATGCAACACATATGACAATTATGCATTGTTGAGCTACAGATGCAAATATTCATAATCAGCAATTAATAACATAAACACATTACATTAATCACAAACCAAATAAAAAACACATTACTAACAAAACATTACATTAAGCACATACCAAATACAAAACACATATTAAGTCACAGAACAATAACTGCATATTTTCTTCATAACACATCCATGATGCAAGTATATAACACATCAATCCATTTTGCAAGCTGCATATTTTCTCCCCCTTTGGCATCATCAAAATAAGCAATGGAGTCTAAAGGTAAGGAGCAAAATAGGGCATGCATATTAGCACAGAACATAAACATAGCTGAGATAGAAAACATAGGAAAATCACAGACCATACATAATGCTAAGATAGTTAAATAGAATTATTAACCCATAGGGTAGCTAGCAAAGCTTAATTAACGGCAAAATGTTTAACCCAAACAGGCTAAGCACAAACATAATTAGTTAAATATCCATGCAAATTCTAAAAATACTAATTATTAACTTGAGTTAAGACTAATCATAAGTAGGTAAGGTAAACATCCAGAACAAGTTTTAAAGACAAGTAATTGACAAGAGTACCTAAATCAGTAATTGCAACCTAGAAATAATTCATGACGCATAATCCAGAAATAAGATCCTAGGGGTTTAGTGCTTCGTATTATATTTCAAAATGATTATTTATCATAGAAACAAGACCACTAAAGAAAGCTAATCTAAGAGAACCACAACTAGAACCAACTAGAAGATCGACATAAGGAACAACTAATGAATGAACCTCATAAAAAACTATCAAAATTGAGTATTCAATACTAACTATAGTATTAGAACAGTTAACAAATAATATATACCAGCAATATATAATTATTAACAATAAAATAGATAATACAATATATTACACTAAGGATAAGCTCAACAAGCTAAGAAATATGATTACTTGAGTGAGACTTAGTGCATAAGCAAAACATCAGTGATGTAGTCAACATAACAATATAATATCGAACAACATCAATTATCAATTATAGCAAGTCCAATGCTAGTACAGAATCAAACAGGTAGCTATCCTGTAACTTAACATTCATCCATCACAAGGTTCATAGCTATAGAAAGACAACCATTCACGGTCATTCAGTAATGAAGGATATCCTATCAAATATAGTAAGTCTAATACTTAACTATTGTAGATAACTACTTAAACATTCATAATTTAGTTATTCAACGTTTAAGCTTTAAACAAAGCAGGCAACTACTTACACATCTGTTATCATTTAATAATCACAATCATAATAATAAGAAAAGGTATCACCATTTTTATAAATTTTACAACTGTAGCAGGATATTAATTAATTACAAACTTAAAGTAATTGTCTCTTAATGTTCTATCATCATCAGGTTGTAATATATCACAATCGTAAATTAACATCATAATGAGGCTACCACAGTCAATAATTTCTAAGAATGGCTAGTCATAGATAAGAGAACTACATATAATTTCAATTACATTAGTTTTGACATCCAATAAGTCCTGGAATGAAAGGTATACCAGTTGAAGGTAACCAATCACTTGCATTGATGAAGTTTTTAGCAGTAAATTGGAGGATTTGACTAGAGTTGGTTACAATTTGAAAACCTGGTCATTTTGCCCTAGTTGCAGCTCCCGGACCCCTGTTGTTATATTCAATGTAGGACAAATGATCCAATCTGGAGCTATTATACCACGTTAAACAGCTGACATAGTTTATGATATCTCTTAGGAAAGACACCATTACCACTACCCTGGAATATTCTCCCAGGGCATCCAAGATATGCTCTGGAAGAAGAATTCAATGGTCCAAAATCTGGAGCTACCGTAATGGTGCAATTGTGAATCACTATTCCGGTGTGTTCAGTTGCAGCATTCCTTGAATCAGCTGTGACAACAATGGGCTTTCCTTTATTGCCGGGATCTCTTCCATATATGTTGCAGTTCTGGAACATGGTGGTTGCGTCACCAAAGATGAAGTCTATGGTTCCAAAGATGTTGCATTCATAGAAAAAATTCCCGCCAAAATACATATACAAAGTGTCCTGGTATCCTTAGAAGGAACACCTGTAGTATGCATTAGTTGAGCCTCCGCTTCTAATAGCGACGGCTTGTCCGGCATTGACTCCGGCGGAATTCACAAAGTTGATTCCTTTTGCAACAAAATTTACTGCTTGCATACCTGCATGTAAACGATATAAAAGCACAATGTGTATATCGTTTACGTGCAGGTATAAAAGCAATACATTTTGTTGCAAAAGGTATCAGTTTTGTGAATTCCGCCGGAGTCACTGCCGGACAGGCCGTCGCTATTAGAACTGGAGGCTCAACTAATGCCACACTTCAGGTATTCCTCCGAAGGATATCCCAGGACACTTTGTATACGTATTTTGGTGGGAATTTTTTCTATGAATGCAACATCTTTGGAACCATGGACTTCCATCTTTGGTGACGCAACCACCATGTTCCAGAACTGCAACATATATGGAAGAAATCCCGGGTTGTGATTCAGAATTGCACCATTACAGCAGCTCCAGATTTTGGACCATTGAATTCTTCTTTTAGAGCATATCTTTGACGCCCATGGAGAGAATATTCCAGGGTAGTGGTAATGGAGTCTTTCCTAGGAGATATCATAAATTTTGTTGGCTGGTTAACATGGGATAATAGCTCCAGATTGGATCATTTGTCCTACATTGAATATAACAAACAACAGGGGTCCGGGAGCACTACAACTAGTGGCTGGGTAAAATGACCAGGTTTTCAAATTGTAACCAACTCTAGTCAAATCCTCCAATTTACTTACAAAAACTTCATCAATGCAAGTGATTGGTTACGATCAACTGGTATACCTTTCATTCCAGGACTTATTGGAGGTCAAAACTAATGTAATTGAAATTAAATGTAGTTCTCTTATCTATGGCTATTCTTAGAAGTTCTTGTCTGTGGTGGTCTCATTATCATGTTAAGTTACCCTTACCATATCTCACTTGTACAAAAAAATTTCTTAATATTTAACAACTTTTATTGTGTTCATCTTCAAATTTTCTTATCTTTAGCACCCCTACTTTGCAATCCTAGCTCCGCCCATGGGCTTTAATTATTAGGAACCAAAAGTTGTGAGCACGTGAATGGGAGGGAATTGGCATGACTCGAGCTGTCACGGGTGTCATTGGCCACCACTTAATTAGTTTCATTTATTTTGCTGTTTGTTTGTTTTGGGATGGAATTGTAGTGCTGGTTTTTCTCTTTATAGGTCTGGTTATGTGGCCCATATTTTGTTAATTTACGTGAGCTAAATTTCTCCTTTATCTCACTTGTGGATAGGTAAGCAGATATACCGGTCAGTATACAGTGTAAACTTGCACATTGAATAGAGAAATAGAAAGGGAACGAATGAAGATGTGGAGACTGAGGATCTCAAAAAACCAAGGCTTTGATACATAATCAACAATCGCAACTAACTCAGATAACACTTTGGTATGTATTATTTATGTCTTTATCAAGATTGATTTGCAGGATATATTATGAGTTTTATTAATTTACGTGAGCTAAATTTCTCCTTTATCTCACTCATGGAAGATTTTTTTTTCTGTAAAAATCTTTAGTAGATGAGGTCTGTTTAGACCGTTTTTCTTAATATTTGGTTTGCAATATAAGGATCCATTTACATTTTCTTTTCTGGCATACTCTATTGGGTGTTGTTTATGACCTAAAACCTTTGGATACAGTTCACAACCTCATTGTTAAAGGTATTACTACATTCTCCATTTGATTAATCTGCTACAACAAAAATTTTCTAATCATTCATCATTTTTTCAGTATAGATAGAGGGCAAAAACTTATTTTAAAAAAAAAAAAAAAATTGGTATAGATAGAGGGCAAAAGAACGCATTCAAGGTAAAAATAAGAATTGCAACACCAAACAGATTATGTTGTTTGTCATATTAGTAATCTGTGACAACATTTACATTTTCTTGTTTGGTGTTGCAATTCTTATTTTTACTTTGAATGCGTTCTTTTGCCCTCTATCTATACTTTTTTTTTTTTTTAAAGTTTTTGCCCTCTATCTATACTGAAAAAATGATGAATGATTAGAAAATTTTAGTTTTAACAGATTAATCAAATGGAGAATGTAGTAATACCTTTAACAATGAGGTTGTGAACTGTATCCAAAGGTTTTAGGTCATAAACAACACCCAATAGAGTATGCCAGAAAAGAAAATGTAAATGGATCCTTATATTGCAAACCAAAGATTAAGAAAAACAGTCTAAACAGACCTCATCTACTAAAGACTTTTACAGAAAAAAAAAATCTGCTTATCCACAAGTGAGATAAAGGAGAAATTTAGCTTCACGTAAATTAATAAAACTCATAATATATCCTGCAAATCAATCTTGATAAAGACATAAATAATACATACCAAAGTGTTATCTGAGTTAGTTGCGATTGTTGATTATGTATCAAAGCCTTGGTTTTTTGAGATCCTCAGTCTCCACATCTTCATTCGTTCCCTTTCTATTTCTCTATTCATTGTGCAAGTTTACACTGTATACTGACTGGTATATCTGCTTACCTATCCACAAGTGAGATAAAGGAGAAATTTAGCTCACGTAAATTAACAAAATATGGGCCACATAACCAGAACTATAAAGAGAAAAACCAGCACTACAATTCCATCCCAAAACAAACAAACAGCAAAATAAATGAAACTAATTAAGTGGTGGCCAATGACACCCGTGACAGCTCGAGTCATGCCAATTCCCTCCCATTCACGGGCTCACAACTTTTGGTTCCTAATAATTAAAGCCCATGGGCGGAGCTAGGATTGCAAAGTAGGGGAGCTAAAGATAAGAAAATTCGAAGATGAACACAATAAAAGTTTTGAAATATTAAGAAATTTTTTTGTACAAGTGAGATATGGCAAGGGTATACTATGTTCAATATGGTCTTACTTCTATGTCCAAGTAACTACATCATGAAATTGATCATTTTTTTACTGAAGATCCGATTTGAGAGGACCTAGAAACCTAATTCACCAAGTTTAGATCTCAAATTAAAATCAGGTATAAGAATATATTTGTTATCCTCCATCAAAGTATCCATTATAATTCGTTTTCTGAGTAAAAATAAAATAAAAAATTATCCAATTGAATCTTGAACATCCATTCAACTTTTAATTGATAAAGGTGATTAGATTTTGAAATAAGACTGCCCATGTTTTAGGGAATATGGGTTTATGTCCTGATTTGAATGAAAATTTGGATGTTTCTTCACTTTTTAGCAGTTGTAAACTTTTTGAATTGTGGTTTCTAATTAACATAATTTATGCTCTTGCTTAAAGGGGGGAAAAATAAAAGATAAACACGGGAACATTTCGAAGGAGGAGGATAGCAGCAGCATATAGCCCAGATAAACACATGAACTGTTGAGTTGATAGGAAGAGGAAGAGTAATACTACAAATTGATTATATATGCACTGGGTTTATATGAACAGTAGTACTAATTTTGTTTTTTTTAGTTGGACCAGGGCTATAGCCCAGGTTAGCCTATTAATAGTTCCTCCCTTGTTAAAGCCCTTGCTACCCGCCCTATATATAAGAAGCAATTATTCCACAACCATGTGATATAGTGAGCTATGTATATATATGTGACAAATAATACCCTATATATACATGTATATAAGAAGCAATTATCTAACAACCCACTCGCTAGATCGAAAACAGCCCATCAACATACAATCTAGGCGTAACTCCATCATCTAGTCAGAGGGAGTACAGAGATGATTTGCAAACAAAGTGTTATTAGGAAAGCTGTTCATAAGTGCACTAGTACAGAGATGATTTTCAATATGGCAATAGTTTTATCTTGGTGCTGATACTGAGTGACATACTGCCAAAAAATAAAAAATAAAAAAAAAAATCGAATAGGGAAGCATTTAATAGAGAGAATTAAGAGAGAAATGTCTAAAAGTCACTAACACAATGTGTATATTGTTTACATGCAGATATAGAAGCACAAAATTTTGTTGCAAAAAACATCAGCTTTGTGAATACCGCGGGAGCCAATGCCGGACAAGCAGTTGCTTTGAGGAGTATAGCCTCAAATGATGCACACTATAAGTGTTCCTTCGAAGGATACCAGTACACCTTGTACGTGCGTTCCGGCACAAAACTTTTCTACGAATGCAACATGACTTCATCTTCGGCGACACAACCAGCATGTTCCAGAACTGCAACATATACGGGAGAAATCCCGGGAAGGAAGGAAAGTCCATTGTTGTTACAGCTGACAGAAGGGATACCGCAAATAGTGACACTGGGATAGTGATTCAGACTTGCACCATCACAGCGGCACCAAATTTCGGACCATCAAATTCTGATTTCAGAGCATTTCTTGGACGCCCATGGCGAGAGTATTCTAGGGTAGTAGTAATGGAATCTTTCTTAGGAAATATCGTAAATCCTGCTGGCTGGGCATTGTGGGACAATAACTCCAGATTGGATCATTTGAGCTACATTGAATATGACAACAGGGGTCCCGGAGCTGCAACTAGGGGCCGGGTAAAATGGCCGGGTTTTCAAATTGTAACCAGCTCCAGTCGAATGCTACAGTTTACGGCTAAAAACTTCATCAATGCAAATGACTGGTTACCTTCAACTGGTGTACCTTTCATTCCCGGACTCGCTGGAGGTCAAACTAATGTAATATCTATTGTTTTATCACCCAACACACACATCCATTGCAATTGCTTTTTTTTAAGAAAAGAAAAAACTTTGATCTTTTTCTTGAAACTGGTTTTTTTTTTTTTTTTTTTTTTTTTTTTTTCTTTGCTCTCCTTGCATCTGGTTGTTTAAATTTGCTCTGTTTCGCGCCTTCACTCGATTGGAGTTGTAGTGTTTTTGGGTTGTGTTGTGCGTGATTGGACAGTACATTATTTTCCTTAGATACTGATAGTGTCATCATTAGGAAAATTTGATCTTTTTAAACAAAATTTTGGAATTTATATATAATAATATTAGGGTTAATTACACTCACACCCCCTTGAGATTTGCCCTAACAGCTAGATGAAAGTTAACTTTACCTTTTGAACAATGACATTCCTTAAGTTTGGTAAAGTTAACTATAATACCCTTACCAGCTCTAATACAAGGTAAATTGACTTTAATGGCCTTTGACTGGTCAATTGACCTAACAAATTTACCATTTTAACCTTTAGTAATCATCTTTACATATCAACTCATTTCCCAATTGTAAAAGATGCTCAAGTCGAATTTGAAGATGAACTCAAGCTGAAAAAATCAATTGATTACTTACAAGCTCTCACCCAATAAACAAACAACAACCCACCGTCCCAATATTTAGCCATAAAAATGATAAAATGACGTGCATGCATATGTTGTTTACATGCAGATATAGAACCAATACATTTTGCTGCAATATACATCAGCTTTGTGAATTATGCGATGGTAGGCAGGCCGTTGCTGCCCGGAGTGGAGGTTCAAATGATGCATAATTAGTGGCCGCACCAGATTTTGTACGACTTTTTCCAGAGCATATCTTGGACGGCCGTGGAGAGAGTATGCAAAGACGGTTGTAATGGAGTGCGAACTCGGAGACATTGTAAATCCTGCGGAGTGGACACCGTGGGATGACAACTCCTCCAGCTTGGATCATGTTTCATACATTGAATATAACAGTAGGGGTCCGGAGCAGCCAATGTTGGCCAGGTAAAATGGCCCGGTTTTCAAATTGTAATCGACTCGAGCCAAATTCTCCCATTTACTGCTGAAAATTTCAACAATGCAAATGATCGGTTACCTTCTGTTGGTATACCTTTCATTCCCGGGCTAATTGGAGGTTAAATTTATGTAATTGAAATTATATGAATAATAAAAAGTGAGTTTGATTAGAAGACGTTATATCTATTGTTTTATCACTCGAGGCATATATATATAATATGAATAATTGGAGGCATGCATTGTTTCCTGCATCCGTTTGTTTAACTTTCCTCTGTTTCGCTCCTTCACTCAATTTGAGTGTGTTACGTGATTTGGGCTTTAGTTTTGTATTGGGCTTTTCGGCCTCGTCGTTTGCTGGGCTCCTTTCTGAAGCTTCTGGGGCTTAGTTTTGTGATTGGCTTTTCGGGGCTCCCAAGTCCCTCTCACCACCATCCTTTGTATATTTTTAGGATAAAGTGTAAAAAAATCCTTGAAATATGTTTGAATTTGCAAGTAACTCTCTTGAATTATATTTTGTGTATAAAATCTCCTAAATTATGTCATTTTGTTGCAACATACCCCAAAGATTATACTATATTTCATTAAATGACCATAATGCTCCTTCTTATTGAATTACATTTAATATATTTTTAATATATAAATAAATTATGAAAAAAATCATACTAATTTGAAGAGATATTTTTCATTAAATTTGCATAAATTTACCTTTAATTTTTTTAATTAATTATTTAAATCAAAAAATTTAGTAGAAATATTTTTAAAAAATTAACTAATTTTTTAATTTTTAATAAATATATTACATGAAGAGAAGGTATTTTTTTTTTTTTTATGCTAAATTGTTACTAGAAATAAAATTAAGGTAAATAGTATAATTAATATTTACATAAGAGAAAAGATAATAAAAATAATTTAATAAGAAATGAAATCAATAGTTCAGGGGGTAGGTTTTTAGTTCGGGGGTTATTTGCAAAAGGGCAATAGTTTAGGAGAGTTTTTTGCACTTAACGTTTTTATTTATAATATCAATAATACAAAATACATCCCTACCCTACTTACCCAAAAAATAAGAAATAAATAACCAAAAAAAAAAAAAGAAAAAAAAAAAAAGGATGAGAAAACAAATATATTTACAACTTTTGACTATTACTGATACTTCTAATGTGAAATCTTCATTCTCATATTTTCAAGCAGAGATTAGTAGGGGGGAAAAAATGTTGAAGAAGTCTCTGGATACGTTAGAGAGAAAGTGGGCTTACATTTTCCCAAATCTTAACTAATATTACTATCTCTTATCATTAACCATGTATTCAGTTTATTTACTAACCTAACCTTCTATTTAATCCATCCAAAATTGTCAGTTAGACCATTTTGTCAATTGGCCATTATAGGAAAGTGATGAGAATTTTTTTGTTAAAATCCCCTAGAAACAGGTGATTCTCAACACCCACGTCTCCTTTTTCTCTCCCACCAATCTTCCACGATATCATCCTTGAAGGCCAAACAGAGAAAAAAAAAAACCAAAAAACTCCTGTGCAGAACAACAATGGCAGAAGAGAAGCCAAAAAATTGCAAAGCTCTCATCACCACCACCACTAGAGACATCACTGTGCAGCCAAACACTTCACTATCACCCTTCAAGCCTCAACCAAAGATCAAAATCAAAATACCCAAGTTACTAGTCAACACCATTTTGCAGAGAAGAAATCACAAGCCTGGCAATGACACCACCAACAATGGTGATCAAAGGAAGAGCAAGAAGAAATGGACCAAGAAATTAAGTTCAATCATTCACAGTGTGTTTGGCGACAAGAATTCGAAAGGGGCGTGTTCTTGCAGTGGCGGGAATGACAGGGCTCGTTGCAGAGTTCATGGTTACAATGTGGAAGAAGCCGAGACGGGTGATGTGGATAACGGGGATCGGTCATTTGAAGCACTAGACTATTCTGTTATGTCGAAGTCACGTTCTTTGAAGGAGATTTTGGAGATTGAAGACCATGAAATGGGAAAGAGTTTCCAAATCAAGGCTCACAGAGAGTCTTTCTCAATGGATTTGAACTCATTCAAAGAGAAAAACAAGAGAGCCAACACTCGTGGTGATAGTTGTTGCAGTAATGGTAGCAATGGAGGTGTTGGTGCAGTGGGAAAACATGAGAGTTCAAGCATCTTGTATAGGGCTCCAAGCAGGAGAGTGAAGGGTAATAGAGTAATTAGGAGGGGGAGGTCAACTCGAAAGAAAGCAACTAAGCTGGTTGAAGAAGAAGAAGAAGAAGAAGAAGAATCAGATGAAGATGAGGAACTATGCAAGAAGAGGATACTGATGGGAGAGAGGTGCCGGCCATTACATTTATCCGGTACCCTAAGCTATGACAAAAATGGCATTTTGTTACCGGAAGAGCTTCCATGCGAAGAGCTGTGAATCCCCTCAGACGCATTTCAATGAGCTATTTCTAGTTTTATATTTACTTTTCTGGTTTCAGTTTTGTTTTTTACAGTGTGATTTTACTGTGTGCAAGGAAAATGTTGCATGAGTGGTCTGTGCACAAAACACATAATGTACTTTGTGATGATAATGACCATTCAGATGGTTTCTTATCGCAAAGTATCATATAAAGATAATGGTAGATTTACTTAATGATAGATTTTGTAGAGTTGTAGAGGCTTTTAGCATAAAAATTCCATGTTTCAACCTTTTTTATGCCACACTCTTCGAATATCACCTTTCAAGTACGAGTGTTGTATTCAACCTTTCATGTATCGAGTCTTGTATTGAACAGGACATAGAGTGCCTCTACAGCATTTATGTGCTTTGCATACATGTCTGTTGTTCGAAAGTAGATGTCTTCTGTTAACATCGAGCACAAAATCAAGAACCTAACCCTCTTCTTTGGGACAAAAAATGTTGCCAACCTAACCCTCTTCTTTGGGACAAAAAATTTGGCAACAAGACAGAATAGAGTTGTGGCAAATTGGCAAATCAAAGCTCGTTAGTCTTTCCCGTTCACCACCAAGATCAATTTAGAAATATCAATTCTTGAGACAATATATGCAGAGCAGATCTAAATCAAACAGTTCTAATTCAAGGGTAGGAGTGAAAACAAATTATGCATTGTTTCTTATTTGCAAACAAGACTGAATTTAATGTAACACATTTACTAATATTTCTTACAAATTTGGAGTTGCAGCAAACAAGTAAATAACAAAAATGAGGTGTCTGGATCTCGGAGGTCTGTGCCAGTGTCATATTTCTTTTCTTTTTTGGTTGTTGACGAGTAACCCCATCCTCTGGCCCATTCCCATGCCTTCTATGGCTAGCACTTTTGCAACCATTCCTCTTGCAGTTCTCCCTGCCATTGCGATCCTTAAGATCCCTACTCATAAGGTGGCTCCTTGAATGGTTGCTCTGCCACTCTACCTGTGGTGCCTATTTCATTTCCCACCTTCCATCTATGTCTCTCTCCCTCGACCATATTCCCATCTTCACTCAGGCGAAAATTGCCCTCTCCATTTCCCTGTCTGTATCCTCTTTTTTTCATAAGCTGTATCCTGATTTCTATTGCTACACCCTCTTCCATATTCCCTCTCATGAACACGAAATAGTCTCAACATCTGCATAAGTAATAAGAATGCCAAAGCTTGCTTAAAAATCCCTCTCCTACAAATCAAATTGTAGTCCACATATTCAGGACTATACGTGATACTTTAGTAAACCAAAAGTAATCTGAACACGATATTATTTCATGGAGCAAATCATTTGGATTTAGAAAAAGAGCACATGATTCATCACAATAAGAACAAGTATAGCCAATTGTATATTGTGAGACAGTTACACCGCAAGAATTGTGTAGTACATCATAATATCACAGTGCATTTTCAGCACATAAAAACCTAGCAGGATCATTAAAATTATAATGCAGGAGAGTGTTTTCAGAGGCTTCTTGTGCATTAATAGGAATGCAGAACTCTGTGAACACACATGCAACACTTGTGGCTGTCATAATCGTTAATATGCTGTGTATATGCGTACATAATTAGATAACATCCCCAAAACATGTGATACCAGTTTCTGAAAAGAGAACTCATAATTCTGTAAGTGTAAGACAACACTTCAAATACAAAGCACAATATGAGCTTTTTATTTTTTTTATTTGGGATTTTGCTTCAAAATATGACATCAGCTATTGAAAACCAAACCACTCAGGCTACACTACTATGCCCCTATTATAAAATATGATTTCATAAAGAAAGAAAGCGGAACTAAAAGAAGATAAAGGAAAGAGAAAGAAATAGGGCTCATCTCTGAACACACCAGGAAAATAACACCACTCCAGCTTTACTATTATCATTATTTTGGGGTGTTGGGGGAAGAAGTCATGACCAAAATTAATCGTAGAATATGAAAAAGTTCATATAAAGAACATGAATATTTTCATAAGATAAACCCAACTTTACACTAGAAACTAGACTAGATTGTGTGATCCATCATACTTCTCGCTGCACACTGTCAGTGCAGAGAAACCTGGCAGGATCAAAACTTTTGGTATAGGAAGCGATTTTAGGCCATTGATGGCTGTAAATGCCATGACAATAGCATAACCTTTTGCAATGTGTGCATGTGTATGTGTATACGTATGTATGTACGTATGTACGTCTGAATATGTAGGCAACAGCTTCCATAATAATCTAACATAAATATCTATTAAAAAAAAATCATAAGCTTCTTTGATGGCAAGAAAATTTATTAAATGTTGACGGGCTAAATTATCTACAAGCTAACATTTTCTAAAAATACCATGCTTTTTTTACTCGAAGAGATGGTGCAAACAAAAAATGAAGAAAGACACGATCTGTCAAGTGAAATGGGTGTTTAACTAATTTAACAAGGAGATAGATCAAATGATTATTGTGTATTCATCACAATAATTTAAGCTTCAGTTTGGTTTGGTTCAGTTTTCTGACATTGGTTTTTCAATCACAGAGATTTGAAAATAAAAAATATATATAGAAAAAGTTGAGAAACCATTTGATAGTTTGTTCTCTAAAACACAGTTTAAAATTAAAGAATTAAATAAATAAAAAATCATAGAACAGTCTTTTCTAATTATCTCAAAACTGTCTTTGATTCTCAAAACTTTTGAAGATTATAATTCTTCATCATAAATGTCCCTTTTTCTTTTGAGATGTCGCAAAATAAGTGTCCCATTCAAAAAGTCATTGTAGAATACAAATTTGGAATCCCCTTGGCAAATATTATACGAGATAGAGGTAGTAACAACATATTGAAATATATATATATATATATATATATCAAATCGGACTAAATACTAAGTGCTATAAGAAAAGGGAAACCAGTAACCATTGAATAACAGTTACACTACAATGGAATTGTTTTATCATCATACTTATCGCCGGACACTGTCAGAACAGTGAACTTGGCAGAACTGTAAAGTATTACTGTAGGAAGTTGTTTTTAATCAAAGGATGTCTTGAGAAGCCACAGAAGTAGAATAAGCCATGATACATGTGTGTGCACGTGTTTGTGTGGATGTAATTGTTTCTTGAAATAACAGGTTCCTTTATAATTTATTATATTTTGATACCCGAGAAAAGCAATCATGCAGTAACTTTCATAAACAAGTTAAGAGTTGCCAAGAAAAACTATACCGAATTTTAAGGGGACATTTGTATGTAAAATGAATACAAAATTGTACCATTTCATTTCCACAGAAACTAAGTGTATGAAACAGGGAGAGAAGTGTAAATTATTGGAGTCATCACCAAAAATGAAAATCTAAAATCATCCACATACTATAGAACCACTTAATTTCAAACGCTATGAGAAGGGGAAGGAATACATCCAAATAACAATGTAATCAAACATTAGACAAAACATTTCCATGACAAAACAACGGGCTCATAAGCAAGTCAAATCACATACTATTAAATTAGGAGTAACAGATCACTTCATACATTAGCTACTCCCATATTATAAGTTCTTCTGCCATTCAACATAAGGCAGAACCAAAATGATACGTAAAGTAGTGAAGCATGTATGTAACAGGATTAGGGCAAAACTAGAGGAGAAGAGAGATATCACTGGCCACATGCCTTGGTTGTCCCAAGGAGATTCCCAACCTCCAAGGCATGTGGCCTGGTGGTATCTCTCTCCTCAAGTTTTACTCTATTCCTATTACATACATGCATGTTTCATTACTTTACATACCATTTAGCAACTCTGACACACTACTTGGCACACCCCATCTTTATCTAAAAAATCAAATGGAATATAATGTAATATATATATATATATATAAAGTCAAGTGCCAAAGCATATTCCTATGAATAATTTATGAATAGTAATATAAATAAACATAAAAATACTACACATTTTCCGTACGGAATAAGCTATTTTCTTTTATACACATGACAAACACTTAATACTTGAAATATATAAGCCACGACGCGGATAGCCTTCCCTTATGAGATTAAGAAAAGACTTGAAAGACAGAGTGGCTAAGATAAATCTAGCTTATGATTATGTTAAGTACTGTTAGGAATATATTAAAACAGCACTAGACCGTCAATAAGCACATCAACCTCACAATCATCATCTAGAACGCCTAAAGCAACTTAACTTCTGCAACTACCGATAACACCTATAAACCCTACTCTGATTGAACACTCTCAGATTCAGAGCTTCATTGTTCATCCTCTAAAGCCCTAGATTAAATCACAATGGCAAGATCGAAGACAGTGTCGAAGAAAACACTAATAAAAACAAAAATCAACATGATTACTGAATGAATTCAATTAAATTAGTAATAATAATAATAATAATAAAGTATGATTAAAGACAAAAGGAAAATTTGAAAAAGAATAATTTAATTTAAAACCAACAAAGTTTTCTCCCCCAGACCCTAAAAATTGGTATTTTTAACAAAGGTTGTTTAATCATCATCTTGTTTTAAGTGACTGAGTATGTACTGATCTAGTCCAATAGAGCCCACTTAGAACCATTATTTTCGATGAGTCAAAAGTGCTTAGCCCTCCATCAATTATACAAGAGAAGATGAAGCGTGAAATAAATAAATAAATAAAACAAAACCTGAGCAAAAATCAAAATCAATTATTTTCTAAGATTCAAGAACATTCACTAATATATATAGAAACAACAATCATGACCAACTTTAAAGATAAACGTTCACTAACTATGAACAATCCATTCTTTATTCTTGCATCTTAAAAATTGTTTTCTTAACCCTTAATATACAAAGTGTAAAGTGTATATGCATGTGTTGTGTGTATATGCAGATATAGATAAAATTTAAGGCAAAAAAGCTAGAAATACAAACCGATCTTGGGCGTAAAACGAAACCCTAATCTGTGGAAGATCTAGCAGCTCTGATAGAAAACCCTAAACCCTATCTCGAGAAAATAAAAATTGATCGAGAGAGCTTTGGACAAAAACCCTAGCAATGGGGAACGTACAACTGGTATGCTACATATATATATATAAGCTTGCATATGGATCGGGCCGGGCATGTTTGATTACCCGTAAAATCTGTACTGGTTTAAAAAAAAAAAAAAAAAATTTACATCAACTTAATTACTCCGTATTTTCTTTAAAAGCACTATTTCATTTGAATATTAAAATTTTATGAATTGTGATAGTAATTTTGTGGACCACATGTATCATTTTTTCTCCTTATGGGCATAATTAGTATATTATTAACACATAATACAATATTGATGAAAAATTTCGAAGAAAGTTGTAGAAATATTTAATTTTATGGTCTAGATAGTATGGAAGTTATAAAGGAAAACAAATATTGTTGATTACTTAAATTTCCCTTATTTTAATCAAATCAATCAAGAGAATCTGATTGGACTTGTGGTGAACCAAAATTTTTGGCCTTGTTAAAAAAATTAATTACAAATTTTAGAAAGAGAGAAAATTATGAATACACCCATTTTATTTTAGTCAGAAAGGAAAATGACATTTTTTTGCTAGTTAAAAAAAAATAAAAAAATAAAAAAACGCAATTGTAATAAAAAAAAATAGTACACGATAAAGTAAAAATTTCCTACTCTCTTTGCAAGTGGGATTTTTTTTTTTTAAAAAAAAAAATATAAAGAAAGTTAAGTTTAGAAAATTTAGGACCTGGTTCTGTTGTGAAAAAAATCATAAAAATAAAAAAATAAAAAACTGTCTCCAATATGAGAATAGAAAAATATCTCAATTTTTTCTCCATGAGGAGAAAACTCACCTTTGGACAATTAAAATTGTTGATAATTTTGGGAGTTCAAATGAACTTAATCAAATATTAAATTAGATAAGATTCATAATACACCATGAAATAATTTTACCTCAAGCCATATTCGATGATTAGAAAATCATTACAGACTCATAGTCCCATTTTACATTACGGACTCCTAGTCCCATTTTACATTACGGACTCCTAGTCCCATTTTAAATTGATCCAATCTCATTCGGAGCGGAGCCAATGTGTGTCTAGGGGTATATAATCCCGCCCAATGTGTGTGTGTGTGTGTATATATATATATATATATATATATAGAAATTGGTATATTATACTCCCTAATTTCCAAATTTTTTTTAAACTTTTTTCTATTTTTCTCTTTTACTTTTTAAATTTCTTTAATTACCATTTTAAAAAGGTCAAATTTCCCTTATTTATTCATTCTCTAAATTATTTCCTTCAAAATTCAAATCTTGGCTCCGCCATATGGGATAATATTTCCATTTTCTTATCAAACGAAATAAATGCCACCACCTTACCACTAGCGGCATCTCGGATGCTTCAACATCCTTTTATAAAGTATGCATGACCATCTCCCAATTAGCAGAAACTATTGGTTTCCTTTCTTTCATGCCATGATTACCGTCATTTCTTTGTCAATAACTTTCTTTCCAACCAAACGCAATCTTAGGATGATTAACTGATGCATTAACCTAGTTACAAAAACAAATTTAGAGAACATGACACTGGGAAAAGGATATTAATGTTAATTGACTATAACAAATAAACATAAAATACTGGATCTCTCTAAATATCATGTCAAACCTTACCTTTGATAAGGGACGGAAAGGAAAATAAAAACCTAAAACCTACAACGATAAATTACATGTGAGAATGGTGACGGTGCAATACAAGAAACATTCATCGTTGAACCTGCTCAGGCACATGGTTGCTTGTGTTAGATGATGAGCCCGCCCTACTTAGCATTCCATTATCGACGGGTGGACTTGCTCCCCATTTACCCTCTGATTCCAAGGGTTCCATCACCTTAACGGTCCCATCCGTCAATCCAACAGCAAATTGGTTCGGCTCCTGTGGATGCGACGCAACAACAAACGGGTATATGGCTTGGCTTCTACAACAATGTACACAAAAGGGTTCAGTTGTGAAGATCAGTAACAATGCTAAAAGGTTTAGACATTCAGAATTCAGATTACCAAAAAAGTAGTGAAAGTGAGAGAAAATGGGGAGGGGGGGAGAAATAAACACGCTTGATAGCGCGCATACACAGAGGCCAGAAAGACTTATAAGCTTTATGTAGTTCTATAATACTAAATTATTTATCCACACCATTAATCATAAACCTATTCTTAACAGCAAGTTTCACATTTTCTAAGAGAGACTATTATTCAATGAACTGAAACAAAAAAAAAAAATTCGGAACTATTCCATAATGATGTCAAAGACTGAGGTCAGACAAATTATATATATTGTATACACATATTGACCTTAGAGAGCAATCAATGGGATAAGGGAGAGGATACTGACTGGCTGGAGTATGCACTATAAGAAAACCATAATACAGAAACAAAAGGCTAATTCCCGAAGTTCAATGGATTAAACCATGTAAAGGAAAAGGCAGCTTAATCAGACAATGATGTGAAAAAAAAAAAAAAAAAAATGGCTACAATGCAAGATGTCTTGTTAATATTTAACAAGGACCAACAACTCTACGACTGTTTCACAACATCATACAAGTAAGTTGCCACAATAAAAATTCAGGGAATAAGCCGTTATACTATACAAGTAAGTTGCCACAATAAAAATTCAGGGAATAAGCCGTTATACTCTTACTTACCCACTCACAACTGCCTGGGGCAAGTATGTAGATGGACCAATGCGGCATCTTAGTCTCAGGCTATCCGCATCAAAGACCCCAATATTACCGTCGCAAAAGGAAGCATAAACTAGTTGACTGTTGCAGGAATACGCCGCATAAGAAATAGGCGCGGCGAGGGCATCTTGTGGGACCCACTGCATTGGAAGAATGGAAAAGAACTTAAGAGTTGTTAACGACAATCTTACTGCCAGTTATTTAGGTATGCTTTCTACCTGACGGACGCGATCCATCTTGGAGGCATCGTATATTGCTAACTGAGTTTCATGGGATACCAGCAAGTGGATTTGATCAGAGTGGAATTGTACTCGAGTGTCACCAATAGGTGCCTTACCAGCAGGAAGTTGTATTGGAACTGATTTCCTTTTCTCCCACGAATCAATGCTCCAAACACAAAGCTGCAACATAAAATTGCAATATTAGTACCAATAAAACCAGAATGATCACATGTGACAGAGTGCGAATGGGATTTCTTAATAACATTCTCAATCAGAAAAAAATAATGCATTTGATGAGAAAAGCAAAAGCAATAATTTAAGATGCAGACCACATATTTAACTGCCCAGATATAGGAGAATGAAATTTACAGCGCAGCAGCAACTAACAGCTCAAAGTTTGCATCAATATATTATTCCTCAAGTTTCAGTAAATAGTACCATTTTAAAACCATAAACCTTTATCTGCTTTCTATATCAGCCAATAATTTCAACTTCGTAAGATAGAAATACTTAACTACCAATTATTTCTACATAAAGAAAGATATGCATCAGGTGACATTAGACAGAAGCCCTTTCCAATAGAAAGAGATGAAGTAAATACGTCTCCATTGCTGTACAGAGTACAAAGAAAAGGGAAACAAGTGGAATGGCATACTGTTGATGAAGAAATCTGCTAATATAACAGCTAAGGCGAATAGTGGATTGAGAATTGGTCTTATTTCAATTTAATTTAGTTGGGCTTCAGGCAAGGCCTATTCATTTTTCTTTTCTTTTCCTTTCTTTTTTTCTGACTCAAAATCCAAGCCTGCCTAACGCCCACCCCTATTGGCAGGGAAAAAGAAAATAGGAGGATGTGAAAGAGGAAATGAAATTGAATATCCTTCAGATAATATATGGTAAATAATTGTATATAATCTAGATTTCACTATATTTTAAATTTTAAGTTAGCTCATACTGTATATCCATGTGACAAGTTGGGTTTAATTTTTTGTCCTTTAAGGGAAGGAATGGATTGTACAAAAGCAACATATTTATAGAAAAAACTGTTTGTGATTATAGTTGAGTACTATCAAATAAAAAGAACAATAATAAGGTATTCGATATTTTCCATTCTTTGCCCCAACAAAGGAAAGAAAAAACGAATCACATCAACTTACATGAGCATCAGCACCTGATGAAACCAGTATGTTAAGATTGGTTGAGAAAGCTAAGCCAGTTATGCGCTTTTGGTGACCTTTCAGTTTTGATTTTACCTATAACGGCAAAGACAATCATGTCAGTTCTGGTCAAGTCGCAGCAAAAACAGAAAATGAAATATTATGGAAGTAGTTACCTCATCTACCCTAACATTGTAGATGTGGATAGTCGAATCCTCCATTCCAATGGCTATGATATTATTATCTTGAGGATGAAATGCTAGGAAGGTTGAAGCAGGTGGAGGTGGCATGAAAGTTGTCATTACCTGCACATCACAGCAACTCAAACTCAAGCATGTATAATACCAATGTTGACATAGTGTGCAACCTATGCATGTGGAGACATACCTTGAATGTCATCATGTTGAACAATGAAACCTTTCCACCAGAGGCTGACATCACATAAGAGTCATTCTTTGAAAGTGCGATGCATGGCACTGCTTCCTCAAGGTTTACACCTGACACATCATTAGACATAAGAAGACCACTGTTTGGTTGCCAGTGCTGTGGAACAGCATTGGCAGTGGCCTTTAAACCCTCACCGATTTCAGAGATCTCCTCGACCAAAAAATTGATATACAACATATATAAATGGAAAACAAACATTAAATTAGTCCCATCTCCATTACCTTTCCGGTTGGATTATGTTCATTGCGGACCCACTTCCACAATTTCTGAATACCATTTGACCCAAGTGCCAAAATTCCGACACCAGAATTCGTATAAAGAAGCCGGGCAACCTAAGCATACACATTCAGTCAAAGCATTGCACAATAAATCAAGTTTGTCACAACAAATAAAAAATAGAAATTACTTAACACACCTTGTTGGCAGCATCTGTGCTGTCCGGCATTGTAACTAGCCGGCACTGAACAGGATCCATAATTTCGGCCAACTGCCAGGGTTTGGTTTTATCAGTTACATCATCCAAAGTTCTTGGTTTTTCCATGCTTCTAGCCAAAGGATCAACTCCATTCTAGAAAGAAAACCGAAACAACCGAAGTTAATTATCTGATGGCATAAGACTTCATTAAGCTGCAGTAATACAAGTAGATAAGAAATCTTTGCCAACAAAACTAGAGCTACATAATCAACAGGGAAAAAAAATAGAGGTGGTAGTCTTAGGAGTCACTTGTTAGGGTCTGTTTGTAAGTTCCACTTGCATAGAAGAGCATGCTCATCCTTGGATGGAAACCAAAGTGTTTACTGGCATGCTCCTCCCAACATACTGTTAAGATGGGAAGCAGAGATGACTCGATCCCTTCTAACACAATTGATCAGAAACCTCAAAGATTTAAATAGTGTCTGTTTCTAACATATTAATTCATGATGGGCAATCAATCAACATGGTCACTGCTGCAACAAATATTTGTAATATTTTCTGGAGAGAGAGAGTATCTGGACAATTTTAAGTGCCAAAGGTATCAGCGACATACAAGTAAAGAAGGCCTGACAGGAGAGCTTCTTTCCACTTTACAATTGACTGGACCAACATTTGCAACACCAGAAGAGCCGGAGACCTGATCAATGAACAAAAACATCTCTATAGATGTCATAATGTAAATACTTTAACAAATAAAGTTTAAAGACTCAAAGAATGATTTGTACCTTGATGGCAGCAGGTTCCCCAGACGCTCTTAATGCTTCAAAAGACGAGGCTTCAACTGCTCTTAATGATCTAAGGCCAGCAGCAGTTGCAAGTATCTTGATTCCATTGTCTGCTGTAGATACAGCTAGAAGATTTCCTTCCTTATTGAACCTCAAGCGAGGAAGACTCTGAGACATTAAATGTAATGATTAATTGCATGATTCAAACATGGTTATTGATTCTCAGAAGAACTATTAAATTAATATTTGCAATACTAACTGGGAGTCCACCCTCTGCCTCCGTGCTCGTGAGAATGTTAGTAGTGTCCATATCCCAAAACTTTATCTGACTATCTTCACCCACAGCCAGAAAGTGATTTTGAGTTGAATCAAACTGCACCACACCATGTGATTTCTTTCTAAACCCAGAATATGTCCTCTTTATCGCTCCTTCACTTTCGTTCCATTCAACCAGGAAAGAGTCCCCTTCTTTACTTGTTCCACATGAAAACAATCTGAAAGAAGGATCGCAAAATAATGAAAAATCTGAAATCTCGATAAGACATTAGGATCAACTGCGCTATGTACACCTCATTTGACAAGCCAAATTTCATCAACATAGAAAATATACAGATATACGTACTTCAAGAAAATGATGAAAAAATTCAAGGCAAAGATGTCCTATGAATCGTGTCTAATATTTTGAGTTTACAAATCTTACCTACTTCCATCGGCACTGTAAAGCATAGTAGTACACCAGTGCCCAGGAGCATCATAGTCAACTCTAGATCCCATATTGTCATATAGCCAGGCCTTAATTTTCCCATCAATAGCGGTTGAGAATATAAACTGTAAAAGTACAAGTAGAAAGCATGATGTCTTTTATTTATTTATTAGTGAGTAAAAGCATGACATGAAACTCTCAAAATTTTATATAACAGCATATAAGTCCCATCATTTCTACCGTAAGCAGGTAAAATGGTGATCAGAAGTGCATTCATGATCATGTTGAACGTGCATTTAATATAGGAAGAGAGGAACAAAGCATCTGAAAATGCATATCTGAAAATGAAGATGGTGAATAGGAGCAGTTGGATGTCACTAATGGTATAGAGAGGTAGTGATGCAAAGATGGGAGCACAATGACAGTGTTGTGATGACTGTGGGGTGGTAGTGTTGGGTATAGCACAGGTTGTAAAGAGGTGGCAACTGTGGCACATTGGTGTAAGGTACTGGAACTGGTACTTGCAGTGACACTACTATGGTGGTATTGGTGTTAGGGTGGTTGAGATTACTGTAACTGGGAAATCATGTAATGAAGATGACATTCAAGGAAATTTGTTTAGAGTGAATTTCATTGACACACAGCATGATTCAAGTGGATTTCAAACTATAATTTAGTGTGCATAGAGTTGTTCCGTTATTATATAGTGAGCAGAATTTCATTGTAATTGGTCAAGAATGTTATTAGTTGTCATAACTCAAAAGGTCGTTGCATAATTACAACCTAGTCGCAAATTGGATTTCACACGGTTTTGCCAACCATGATTGGATAATCGTCAAGTATTTGTAACCTCCTTTAGCAGCTACATATACTGCTGTAACTTTCATTTTTTATGAATGAACTAGACGAATAAATTTTACATGCAATAGGTGTGACACATCAATCCCTCTTCCCCCACCCCTCCTTTTTGTTTCTTTTTCTTTCTTTAAATTTCAGCACCTTTGTTTTTTTTATTATTTCTGCCATCTTCATAATATCTTATTTCATATCCAAGTTTCTGTTACTCCACTCTTGTTTGATAAGAGTGCAACCATATTCCTTAATGTAATAAATGTGCTACATCATGGTGGGGACATTGACAATCACAGTAGCAGCAATATCTCACGGTGACAGTACTATCAGAGGTTGCAGTGGCAAAGAGCAGCACAGCAGCAACTGTTGTGGTTGTTGTAGCATTAGTAGTTACGTTTTACTGAAATAAATTCTATCGTAAACATTAACAGAGTAGTTAACTTTCTTTTGACAACTTGTATTGACTGGAATTTGCTAAAGTATTTCTTTATCAGTCAATTTTTTAAGTTGTAATGCCTCTCGTGGTCATCATGTTTTAGGTGGTATTTATTAGCTGTTACTGTAATCACTGATAGCTTATTGAAGAAGTATAAACTATAACAGTTTGTAATAGAGCAAAGGTAAGTTGGGGAAAATTTTTGAGTTGGCTTGAAGTCCTTATTTTAGATATTCAATTATTACACTTTTTAATAATTTGCCGATAGTATCATCATTCAGTTGTTTACCTCACAAGACAGTGTTGTGCAGTTTAGTCTTGGTTAGGGATGCAAGATAATCAAATCTCAAACATAAAAACACAAGATAGTGAGTATTCAAATTATAAAGTATCTGCAATAGTAAGTTGTAAATAAATACTATCTTTATTATTACTTCTTTGTAACCTTGTTAAAACAAAGAACAGCTACAAGTAAAATAATACATCTTCTAGAATTTGCTTCAGATTTTGAAAGAGGACAGAGGAGCTGCTTGCAATTCAAAGTACAAGCACACATATTGCACCTGAAACCAAGTGACTGAAGACCGAAGTACACCTAAATGGTCTCCAGATTCATGAACTATTTTCATTATTTTTCATAATCTAATCAAAGAAAATAAATTAACTACCACCCTCTACAATGTTCTATAAGTGCTTTAGACATTTTAAAAAATGGAACTGCTGATAGACATTTTTCAATGCTAAGGAACCAAAAACAATTAGAAAATATGGAGGAGGCAGAAAGTACATTAATGGTTGAATCAAATTAAACTTTATATTGCCCTGGTGAAAATTTAATTTTTACTCAAAATTAAAGTTTTGGCCTATTTTTTCTGCTAGAGTAGATGGATCTAGACTAAAATTTACAATTCCAAATCAAATAGCAAGTGGATAGGTTACCAACTAAAGAAGTTTTTCCCCTTTGTGACATACCTGGATACTCTCTTTCTGATGAGGACATACAGAGAATACAGGTGCCTCATGCCCTTCAAAATTAAAAAGCTTTCGTCCTGCTAAATCCCACACCTGTTCCAATTCTTACATTTAGTGAAAGTAGTAGTAGTAGTAGTAATAAAGCAAAAATTAAATTTTAGAAGTATGTGAAGATTTATCTTACTTTTATTAGCTTATCATCTCCGCAGGTTACTACACACAGATGTTTGTTTGGATAAGCAAAAGCCAAGTCATTCACTCTACCACCATGGGCATCAATCTGCAAGCAGAAAGAGATAGCATTCAAGTTGCAGCTACAAGCTTTACCTTGTTGAACAGGTGCAGCAATATCCCAACTTACCTCTAAATGCTGGCGTAAATCATTTGATCCAGGATATGCATATATATGAATCACTTGCTTAGCAAACGCAGCCCCTGCAACATGAATACAGTTACAAAAATACTCACAGGCACCTTCTGAGCCATTCACTAGTTGAAATGCACATACCCATATAATTTCCATCTGGACTCCATGTAACACGGCTTACAGATATTGGTGCATCTTTGACAATGGATTCCTGTTCAAACTCTTAACTGTGAGAATCCACTAAAAGAGTAGTTGCTACAACTTTTCAAGAATAATAAAGGATATTGCCCAATGCAACCCAAACAAAGTCACTGCAGTATTGGCGTGTTAAAGACTTGTTTTCAAAATTGTCACTTGTGATATCAACAATTCCATATAAGACATCAACAATGATTAGGCCACAGCTAGTTACTAATTATTTTAAATTGTGACCATAACCTACATACACACACATAACACAACAACAACAAGAACAATGCACAAAACGAGTGAAAGAAATAAGTGTGTTTTCAGTAAGAAAAGGAATGATAGATGGAATCAACAATAAAGATGATATAAGGACCTGAAATGCCAATGAAAAAGGCGTCATATCCCATATCTTGAATGGCTTAGAAAGCAACTTCTCTCGCATCGCAACCTCCCAGAGTGTTATTTCGCCACTACTAGAACCAACTGTTTTAGGAGACAATCCAAGTCAGATATTTGGAAGAAGAGTTGTAATCTATTTAGTTGCAGCCAGCTACAAAATCACCAAAGATAAAGACAAAGAATCAACCACGGAATATCATACCAAGAAGCAATGTGTGGTGTGAAGGGTGAAAATCCATGCTTGTGACAGTGGATCCTTGATGCATGGTAAAAGCTACTGTTCTTGGCAAGTCATCCAGGGACCAAGAAGGTTGACGAGCTGTTGGATATGTAACCTGAATATTTAGGAGAGAAATATCAGCCAGCCAATAATGAATGATTTTAGTAAGAGGACCATTTGGCGCATTGCAAAATGAAAAAGGGAATGATGAAACATCCAGGACAGTATATAAGAAAAGGCAACTCTTGAAGATTACCTCCTCAGCAGACTGTCCAGACCGCAAACGTTTCATGAATTGTTCATGTTCAGTACTATGAAAATCAAATGTTGTTGGAGGCGTTATTGGACGCTTCAAGATCGACACTGTTCAAAAGAAAAAGTGAAGCATATAACACATGGATGCATGAATGAAGCAAGAATTGTTTTGACAACTCAATGAGCATCATAAATAACGATAGGAATCTATGTCATACAATCAAGTGGATTTTGTTGCCACTTGTAGCAGGAGAGTCCAAGAACAAATCAATGACACCCCTCCCCCCAAATATATGTATATAGTTAATGCATATATATATTGGATATTAGAAATTATAGGCTTCTCATATGTTGCCTTCCACATAAACGCTAGAACTTGTGGCCATGATTGAGTAAAAATGGCAATGAATGTATTTATTTTTCAAATGTTGTATAAAATCAAAAAATGTTGTTATAAGCAACCGTGCACAATGTTTTCTCTTCTTTGAATTATAATTCCATCAACTGCTTGAATACCAACTCCAGTTGAAAGTAAAAGTCTGACCTTGATTCTGTGGAACAGGTAAAGATGATGCAGTTACAACAGCTGCTTGAACGGATGAGGAAGCAGCAGCGTTTGCCATCCAACCTGCTAGAGCATTAGCATTAGCAGCTGCTGCAGCGGGTGGAAAAGGCTACACAGAAAAAATGAAAATAAGATATTCATCAGTAAGCTTCTAAGAAGTATGTAGTTAATCTGAGTAAAAATTGAACTTCTGAGATGAAGGATAGCATACACCGTGAGCTCCAAGTGATGGATAAGCAGTAGGCTTCGCAACTGCAGCAGGTGGAAGATTGACAGGAGTAGGTGCAAGGGCCCCATTTGGAGGTGTGCAACTATGGTCTGTGAATAAGGTTTTAATATCCGGATTTGGTCTTGGATTCTTGCACAACTGGTGCTGCCAGTTCAAACTGGATAGACCATAAAATTGCATATTGGAGGCCATACATTAATAGCATGATTGTCTAAATATCTACTGCAATATATGTAACAATGAAGAAAACAAGAAGACCGTCCACGGATTTGTAAAAGCTTCTGAGGAGCAAGAACATGTAAGGATTCATATATATATATGGGGAGACGATATTCGCACTCCATTTTTCTACGTTTGCACTCCAATATAAAAGAAAATGACTCTTCTAACCCTAACTTCACAAGTGAACAATTATTTATTTTCAAATTACACAACTACCCTTTCAGATATGATTGGTCTCCCCTTCTCTGATCCATCTGACAAAATTCAAAAAAAAAAAAAAAAAAAAAAAAAAAAAAAAAAAAAAAAAAATCAAGTACAACACACAAAAAAGATAAAAATAAAACCCAAAAAAAGAGTTCTATTTGTTGAAAATTTGTCTTTTGGGAACAAAAAAAAGGTTATCCGTGTTGAATAAATTATCTCTTTTGACAAGGCCCAAAAAAAAAACCAATAATAAGTTATCTATGTTGAATAAATTATCTCTTTTGACAGGATAAAAAAAAATACTAAATAAAATAAATAAAGTAAATATATAGTTTATGGTATAAAGGATAGCTATGGTATTATAAAATAAGAGATGGTGGTGCATCAATGAGTTTAGGGACCTTTTTGTCATTTTATTTAGAAGAAAAAGTATGTGGAGTTTGAATGTAGAAAAGTGGAGTGTGAATATCGCCTCCCTATATATATGTGTGTGTGTGTGTGGAATAAATTTATAGTTAACAAAATGGAAGGGGTCCAAAAATCAAGACATCAACATCTATATTAATATAATTGTTATCCATATGTCGCACACAAATATTAAAAACAACGTTCATCCCTTGAAAAAAAAAAAACTAAAATTTTAATAATGAAGAACAGAATATATTGTCATAAAAATAAGAAATAAGAACAGTTAAAGCTTCAATAAGGCTGACTCAATATTAGCTAGTTCATTAGGTAGACAACGGAAAGAAGGATTTCCGACAAACAACAAGGGAAAAGAAGACCTAAAAGGGAAAGAACAAAAGAAAACTGGATTGCTCCCAAGAAATAACTGCAGCAGGGTAAAAGTGGCTTACAAAGAACAACCACGAGACAGTTGGAGAATCAAAACTTTCTATTTCATCCATTACAAATCTAATTCTATTTTGGCAGGGAAATTTTTGTTTACCTTTGATTGATTAGAGTCCGCAATCTTGATGACTTTAAAGTAGGAAAAACAAGCTTTTCACGAAAAAGTGGATTTGCTTCTATTAACTTTTTAAGCTCTATCAGCATTATGCTACGAGCTGTTTTGGTGTCACCATACTTGGAGAGCTGCTCATTTTCCCTGAAATACAAAGAACAAAAATTACCATGAACAACCCTTTTTTATTTCACAAAATCAGCGAAAGCCTGAACAGAGCATTGTAATGAATAATTTTATCTAGATCTAGTAAGACTTAGAATTTCGTGAAATTACCAAGACTCCTGTCCCATATCAGCAATGAGAAATGCAGTAAAATAAACACTTTGTTTAGATCATGAAATTAAGGGCCAATTGGTTGGTGCAATCACTACAAAGGTAAAAGCTCAAGCTACAAAGAGTGCGAAAGCGGGTTCGAGTCAAGGGCAGTCAGTAATGCCCAGTCTAGGTTTGAATCTAGTCCTTCATTGACGGGCCAAATATGTGTAATAACCTTTATGGTTATTTGCAAAAATAAGGGAACAAGTGGAAAATGCTTTGAAGTGGCTTCCTTTTGTAAGCATTTTACTTTCCTCATTCTTTCAAAAAACCACATGTAAGAAAAGAAAGATAGATTTTCAATCTCATATATATATGTGTGTGTGTGTGCGCGCGCGCGCGCTATAGCGGTTTTTCTGTAATGAAAGCACTGACCTTAACTAAGCCAAATATTTTATCAGGCTCAGCTGAGTTCGCGTGTGTGCACGCACGCATGAATGTTTTTCTCTCTCCAAGTAACGACAATTTGAAGATTCAAAACTGAATTTATTTTCTTTTCATCAATTAAACAGAACACAGGAATAACTGATTTATTGTTTTCCTACATTACTAATGCATGCTTATACCATATATGGAGAGAAAACAACATTCATGAGCGCGTGTTTTTCTCTCCAGATAAAAACGATTTGAAAATTCAAAACCTGAATTTATTTTCTTTTCTCACAGCTCCTCATCAATTAAACAACAGAGCCTAGGAGTAACTGACTTATTGTTTTCTTATTTTGCCAATGCATACTTATACCTTAAATATAGTCAAAAAAAAAAAAAAAAAACATATTACCTGAAATTGCCAAGTGTTAATAGCTGAGTAATTTCTTTATATAAATCTTCATTAAAGGTGGAGAAGACTTTCAAATCAGTCACTAGTATCTCAACACCCTTCGCCTTGTCTTGCCTAATCATATCAATAAAACAACCAAAGACATAACAAAAATCAAATCTTCCCCAAGAAACACAAATGTAAAACAAATCATAAACATAAATGGATTGCAATATACCGGTCAAGAGCTTCGAGATACTTCTGCTTCCTGATTTCAAAGAATATCTTCATGGAGTATCTGTTATCGTCAACTTTAGTAAATCCTGATAAGTATTTCTCAACTTCATCCCATTCACCAGCTTGTACTTTCTCCTCAAAGTATTTCATGTTGAAAAAAAACCCTGATTCTTGTTCAAGCCTACAAAACAAAATAGACATTCTTTTGGTTTTTAACCAGTCCCAGAATCAAGTCAAATCAAAATACATTTCCACACTAAGCTTATTATTATTAATGTAAAGGAAAAATAAATAAAATTTTGAATTCTAAAACCCTAAAGTAAAAAATTAAAATTAAAAAAAAAAAAAAAATTCTTTCACTCAAGTAGGCCTTATACAACTGCTTGAAACCAGAACAACATCAAATATCATATTCTTTTTTTTTTTTTTTTTTTTGGTTTCTATCTTTCTCTGAAACAAAAACTATATATATAGATATATATATATATATTTAAAATCTTAGTATTTTGATATATATATATATATATTTTTAAAATCTTAGTATTTTGATAGAAAAAAATTCACTAACTGAACATTAAATTAAATATCTAATTTGCATAGTTGAGGTTATTGTCGTTTTTTCTTTTAAAAACGTGAACATCAAAATCAAAAATTTTGTTCATTGAATTTTCTGCAAAATCGAATTATGCCCGGATAATTATATAGATGATAGATATAGAAAGAGAAAGAGGCTTACCTGTGAACAGACTCTTTAAATTTCTCCTCTTCAAGAAATTGGAGTATGAGAAAAACCAGTTCTCTGCTAAGAGAGGACATTTTTCCCACCAAACCGAACTCGGATTTCGAATCCAGAAACAATAAAAGCACAAATTTATCTTCCAAAAACACACAAACCCGAACAAAGAAACTGAAAAAACAGATTGAAAAAGCACAGATCGAGAAACAAAAGAGTCAGAGACGACGAAGGACTTCACGAATTTCTAGGGTTTCTGCTGAGAGAAAAAGCTTGATAAGAAAGTCTGCGGAGAAGAGAGAGAAGATAATGGAGAGAAGGGGTATTTAAAGAGAGAGATGGGGGAGAGAGAACTTGGTCGCTCGCTCGCTATCAGTGATAAGTAAGTGCACTTATTGAAAAGAGATAAGTGCATTAGGTGATAAGTGGTGTGGTGTAGTTATCGGTGTTTTGCGTGAGATGGTGGAGAAAGTGCGTGTTGCTGAATCAAAACCACACATTCAAATCTAATCTAATGTGAGTTCGTAACGTCCATCTCGATCCTGTCGCTTTCAGCCAACTTCTCGCGATATTTTGCTTTTTATCTTTTCTTTTCTTTTCTTTTCTTTTCATATTCTTTAATTCGGCTGACTTAAGTTGTTGTCAGTTGGTTTAAGGAGGATATTTAACCCCACGCGCTGTGTCCACCACGCACCTAGAAGATAAGCTTAGTGGGGCCCACTGCCCACTAGTTTCTCGTTTTGTTCGCATTTTCCCACAATTGTGCCGTGTTCGAGTCATATCATTTATGCAATAATTATGTTATATTGTTCTTGTTAGATGTTGTATTATGTCGTGATGTATTATTGCACACAGAAAAATTATTAAGTAGTTGGGACCATATTGTCCCGATCAATTACGAAAGGTCATGCAGCTAATTAAATGTGATCGGCTTTATATTTATATAAATTTTTGTGATTAATCGGAACCACATAATTTCAAATTACATAGTTAATTTGTCACAATATAAACGAAATCACACTCTATCCAAATTTCAAGGACAAAATAATGCAATAAAAAGATAATGAAGTCATAGATTTTTGAGTTTTGAAATTAAATCAATGTATCAAAAAATGTCACTTTATGTGATTGTCCATTTTATTTTTTTCTTAAATGAGTGAAACATTTTAAGGAATAAGGTTGGACAATTACAACACTTCCAACCATATGCAACACTCAAAACTATGTGCTATAAAGTCTCGACCATCACTTTAAACTATTCTTCTCAAATCACTTTATACTATTTGAATATTATTGAAAATTTGATAATGAATTTTATGTGATTGTAAAAAGTTTAAAATTCTTTAAATACTCAAATTTTATCATTTGAAATATGAAATCGGTGACTTAGATTTAGAATTGTAGAAATTTAAATTTTCTTTAATTTAAAATTCAAAGCAATAATTTGATACTTTTAATAAGACAAGGACAAATATTTAAATTGTTGTAATATAATAGTTAAGTACTAGTAGAACATTTAAACTCTTCTTTGCAGTTATAGCCATACAAGCTAATTAACTTTTATTTGAACTTTTTCAAAATAAGATAAGATGATGTTAAAGATGAATTAATAATATGACAGGGCGGACTCAGCCATGAGTCAATTAAGGCAGGCACTCGAGTCCCCAATGAGAAAAATAAATAAATAAATAAATTCCATAAAAGTGATTTAATTATATATATATAATATATATATATATTGCTAATTTCATTATGTTACCTATGTATATCTTTTAGCCTATTAATTATATTACTTACCAAAGAAAACATATTAATAATTATACCGTATTAATTACTAAATAATTACACCTTATTAATTACTAAATAATTACAACTTTCTATTAATTACTAAATTATTACAACTTTCTTCTATTGTTCCATAGAAATTTAAAGGTTCCATCTTATCATAATTTCATTTTTATCTCAACAATCTTCTTGACTTTGTAATTTGTTAAATTATTTTATTATTGATAAAAAAACACACTCACACCCAAAATGTTATGACTTGAGCCCATGATCTCCTCATTTGGAAGGTCAGAAAGTACATGCGTTTGGTAATTTGGTGACTCTTTTTCGGGGAGGCTTTGTATTTGCAACATAAGTTGTAATGGGCTACTTGGCTGGGCTTTGCTCCGTTTAAGTTTCATTAGGCCAGTGGACTTGCATCTTTTGACCCAAATGGGTTTGAAATGCATGCAGCGCATAAAAAATAAAAAAATAAAAAATAAAAAGATGAAAATCGAAAGCATCAAAGTTACTTATGCATTGTAGCAATGAAAAGAAAAAACTCTAAAATGACCTTTTAAGTAGCCATTTTATTTTTTGAACTTGTAACACTTTTTCACCAAACATTTTTTCACGTGTTTTGCTTCTTAAAATATTGTACCAAATACTTTTAAATAATATTGAACACACTTCAAAACATAATTAGATTAAAAAAAAAGCACAAAATAACTTTGGTTCCCAAACAGGCTCTTACACATCCATTTCCATCCAATTAAATCATTTGTTAAGCTAAAAATATAAAAAGTGTTTTTATATTTCCCTAGTTTATTGCAAGATAAGAATAAATAATAATTTTTAAATAAAATTTAGGGTAAATAATAATTTTTAAATAAAATTTAGGATAAAGTACAGCCACACCCCCTGAGGTTTGGCAAAAGGATACTCACAGGAAACTTACCTGTTTTTTACACAAAGACACCCACTGAAGGTTCAAAAATGGACAACGACACTCCTTTACATGAAAAATTGACCAAATTATCTTTTAACTGTTTAGAAGACTTTTTTAACTTTACATTTTAATAAATTGGACTAATCTACCCTTATGAATAATTTATGCATAAAAAAAAAAGTAAAAATTTTTTTTTTTTTTTATATTGTTCACTTTTTTTTTTCTTTTTTTTTTTAGGTTCCAACTTCTTAAAAATGTAGACGTCTAAAATGATTTTTTGATTCAATACATATATTTTAAATAAATTATATTTTGTTATTACTTCTTCTTTTTTTAAAAAAAAAATAAGATGCTTAATTCTTTCATCTAAAAAAATTAAACTAATCTCTTTTTCTTAAAAATAAAAAATATGGTACCAATATAACTTTATGCATCTTAAATTATATATCAAATATTATGCATTTCCCAACATAAAAGAAAATAGGTACTAGTATAACTTTATGCATGCCTTTGTTTTTTTTTTCCTTTTATTTTATTATTATTTTTTTTTCCTTTTATGTTGGGAAATGCATAATATATGATATATAATTTAAGATGCATAAAGTTATACTGGTACCACATTTTTTATTTTTAAGGAAAAGAAATTGGTTTAATTTTTTTAGATGAAAGAATTAAGCATCTTAATTTAAAAATAAAAAAAAGAAAAAGCAAATAAGTAATAACAAAATATAATTTATTTGAAATATATGTATTGGATCAAAAAATCGTCTACATTTTTAAGAAGTTGGGACATTTATAAAGTAAATAACAATTTTTTTTTTTGTTACTTTTTTTTATGTATAAATTATTCATGAGGGTAGATTGGTCCAATTTATTAAATTATAAAGTTAAAAAAGTCTCATAAATGGCCAAAGGGTAATTTGGTTAATTTCTCATGTAAAGGGTGTCTTTGTCTATTTTTGAATCTTCAGGGAGTATCTTTGTCCAAAAAATAGGTAAGTTTCATCTGAGTATTCTTTTGTCAAATCTTAGGAAGTGTAGATGTACTTTATTCTAAAATTTATTAGTATTGTATTAATATAGTTAACGTGGGAATGGTAAGTTTTATATTTGCTTTAAGTCTAGAATTGCCTCAAGAAGAGCCTAACTTATGGAGACCAGTCTAAACATATATGATCAAACTCACCGAATATCAAAGAAAACAAAAAATCCAAATACACTTCCTTTCATAATAGTTTTGTAGACTTTAGTTATCAACCTACTTTATTATTATTATTATTATTATTTTTGATAAATTATATTGACATCCTCTTAGATTTGAGTTAAAGACATTAAGACAATCATCTATAACTTTGACACTTTTTGAACAATGACATTTTTCAAAATTTTCAAATTGAACAATCACACCCCAATCACCTTTAAAGCAATATGAAATGTTTAAGTGGCCTCTCAATAAAATATGATATTTTGGACCAAAACATCATATCAAATAAATAACCAAAATATCCTTAAATCAATAAACCTTTTAGTCTCCTCCATTACCTCCTCCCCTTTTCATTTCCACCGACTATTATCGCCACCGCTGCTATCGCCACCAAGTGATAGAAACAAAATTAAAAATTTTAATATATATAATTAATTTGTATGTGAGTGTATATATATATATACACAGAACTTGCTCCTTAGTCTGCACAAAAATGCATATACACCTCAAATATTAATCGTTAAATTTCATTAGGCAGCTAAAAAAAGTAATTTATTTTTGGATTAATTCCACCTACACCCCTGACGTTTGCCAATATTTCACTTACACCCCTTTTATGTTTCATAATTCCACCTATACCCCTTGTCACTGACGGTTGTCCACTTTACTAACGGAAATATATGATTTTACTATATTGCCCATGAATTATATATTAATATTTATAATAAAATGTATTTGAAACTAAAAGGTCTAAACTACCCTTTAATCCTCGTCGTCTTGATGGTGTCTTCGTGTTCATCCTCTTTTTTCGACTCGAGCACTGGTTGGTGACACAAATGGCCTTCTTCTCCATCTACATCCGCAACTGCTCCGTCAACGGCATCGGCGTGCTCGTCGGCAATTGGAGCTTCCATGCGCGATCGACATGCACAGTCCGATTGCCCTCCATGTCGTCGATCAACACCGAACACAACCCAATACCCAAACAAACCCAACCTCACAGCCTTTCATCCTTGCGAACGGCGAAGCGAACTGGAAAAGCGGACGATGGAAACTGAAAGATATGGTTTTGATTTTTTGAACAATCTGAAATGATCTGCCGATATGGGTTTTGATATATGTAATGGGTTTTGAACTTTTGATTCTTGCCGACAGATAGATTAACTGAAATATATGGGTTTTGAACTTCTGATTCTTGTAGATTTGTAGTTTGCAGTTGCAGAGAGAGGGCAAGTTCAAAGTTGAGAACGAGAATAGAGATGAAGACGATTTTGGAGGCTGAAATGATTTGCCCTAAAATTATATATATATATATATATATATATATTGATTCTAATTCTTGTAGATTTTGTAGGTTGCAGTTGCAGAGAGAGAGGGCAAGCTTGCGAGTG